TCTTGTCCCTCCCACCACTACTTTCAAATAAGGACGTTTTACCAGCTATTAAGTAACACCCCCCTGGGCGTTGCCATCTAAACAAGAGTGTTTGATTTAGATTTACTGGTATGATATCGCGCTCCCCTCTGACGACCTCTATACTCTGTGCTGGCGATTCACACTAGCACCACCACCACCAATACTTGCACGTGAGACGTTTAGAGAGTCAATATCATAATACGAGTACAGTATTATGCCTGGAGAGCAGAGGAAATCGAAAACGTTTCTAATCGCGGAGGCCAACTTGGTTTGTCTGTACAGAGATGCCAAACATCTGTGGAAATTTCTTTTGTCATAATATAAACATCTAGATTCAAGGAATGAGGTCATACAGGGCAGAGTACTTATGGAATTGTTTCGGTAAAAGTTTCACAACCTATTTAAAATTCTGAGAACCTTTTAATGTAGTTCCTTTTATATACTTTGTGACGCTCCCAACATTTTATTTTCCATACACTGTAGTGCCCGATTTCGTTTCCCTTTTCTTTTTCCTCTTGACGCAATACTGCAAAAGTTCTTCACGTACAACTTATTTTATCGAATGCACCGATCTTTGTAATTTGCATTATGTCTACAGATTCTAGTTTTGACACATGGCGAACGACAGCTGACTTCCTCGTACGTATACTATCGCGTCGCTAAGAGCAGCCAGATATGTATATCAAAGTGCATGTGATTCCTAGCACGGTGTAAACATATTGCCACCCGCACAAAGCCGAGGTGTTGACACGCCGCCAGTTTTGGGAGCATGTAAATCAGGTTTATTAAATTTGTTGCGAATTTGTTTAGACTTTCTGTTTTTAACATTCACAGTTCTAAATTGCCTTACAATTAATTTCAATACTCAACTTGAAAATTGTTTTCAAACGAGAGAAAAACTTTACACATGTGTAAAATATTTGGTGACAAGTTTACGTCTTACTTTCTCGTACACGTAGTAAGTTGCAGTTCTGTGGCAGGGACCCTAGGACAAAAATTAGGTGGGAGAATCTCAGAAAAAAGACCAAAAACGCTTTAAAAACTATATTATTCTTCGGTTTCCATATTGTCCATGCATTTAACTGTGTTCTAATCATTAATTTTTAATAGACATTTAACTTGTATTTAAATATTTTAGAGAGGACTTCCCGCACTTTCCTTGCCGCAAAATTATTAACCACATCAAAATTTATTTATCTCATATTAGCGTTTTAACTGTTTCACAGTTTTTACCTGTTTTTGACGTAAATAAATAAAAATAAATAAATAGCGTTATTTCTTCTTAAAATAGCGAGTTTGTTGAGGTGGTGTCGAGGTAATGACTTTTACAATCTGTCTTTTATTTTGAAAACAATAGTTCATCATTACAATTAGCAATCATTAAAACAATATAAATTTTAAAAATTATTTCCACACTAGGGAAAGCATCCTGTATGAGCTTTTGTATTATTGTAATTCTATTATTTGTCGTAGAAAATAGGTTATTTCAAGATTCCATACTATGGATATAAAATGAAAACAATATAAAATATATCTCAATTTTTAATGCAACAAATACAGTTAAAATGAATGAACACAAATCTGGCATTAAATTAACGATATATATACATATATATACATATATATATACATACATACATACATACATACATATGTTTGATTTACGTCGTAAGACTTTTGTTAAAATCTATATCCCCCCCCCCAAGTTTTGTGTTTGGTGGAGGAATAGTGTGAATTTTTTGACAGAAAAAAACACGCTTTTCAATTCTCTGATACCTTTTCTTATACGTTCTACATCAGTTTCTAGGTTTCTTAAGATCAATGTTTCTGATACCAAACATGTTTTTTATAAAATGTCTCTCTGTGAAAAACAAGCTTCTAAATAGTTCAAGGGTTTCAACAATTTATTGAACAATATAGCTGCTGACTAAGGTTGCCAGGTCTGCTTACAAAAAATTGTGTACAAGCAGGGGGGAAGGGGTTATTTATAAAAATATTTTTAAAAAATACAATTAACTTATTTTTATTATGAACATTATCACCCGTATTAAAATATTCACTTAAACGTACTTAAAATTCCAAGCTTCAATTATATTATAACATGAAAAATATTAAAATAAATTTTACTTTCAAGTCATTGTGTATTTTTATTTGGCTGCGCAGCTTTGATCAATTCTTTGTTTAAAGAATATTTCTTTAATTTCAGAACAAAGTTAAGAAATGTGAAAATAATATGTTAATGCGAGATAAAATAAATATTTTGTAAATAATTGTACATACTTTTATTAAATGCCTTGGAAACAATTGAGTATGATTAATACTTTTTTTGGAGAATCGACTTCAATGGATATTCGATCTTTGACTCATTCTAACTTATGAAAATGACGACAAAACACGATTCTCCTATCCTTATTCTCTTAGTCTGTACAGCTTTAGACTACGTTCCATTTCATTATAAAGTTTTGAATTTAAAAAAATGTCCACTATTTTGTGAAAACAAAATAGTGAACATAATGTGAAGAAAACAGGCTGTCTGCTCAAATAGTGTACATCTGGCAACCCTATTGCTGTCACAGATCCTCGAATTACGGACATTTCTAATTTGAGGGAATATTTTTACATGCAGCTCCAAGGATACTTTCACAATTTTGTTAAAATATATCCAATCTATATCTTTAAATTTTTGCTCGAATAACGCAAAGTACGCTTATAAAAGTGGCGGAGGTCCAATTGTCAGCAAGTCTTTGTATTTTTGAAAATTGGAAAAGTTAAATATTTTTTTATTAACTTCAACAACAGCGTTGTTGAAGACGGCGATTTCTTGGTGAAAAGAGCCAACATGTTTGAAATGTCTGAAAACAGCAATTCTCTCAACAACAAAAGTCATGTTCACCAGTTAAGAAACATTTCAGGATATTTAGGAACAGGATATTCCGGTTATATAATAATAATGTAAGGTAAATCAACCAGTAATGGACAAGAGTTTTATTAAACCTTGATCCATAGTACTAAACTCGTTGTGTGAAACACAGTGAGCTATTAGAATACTTCTTTCTGAATACTTATCTTGCATCCCAAAACGGTAAATTTTTAATTTGACCTATTTATTTTTATTTCTGAACACCGACTTCTTTAGTAGTGTTGACTTAAAAATTGCAGATTATTGGTAATGATCAGATACTTGAGTCAGTAACAGACACTCAATATTCTACCCCTAAACGTATTTCAGGAACAGCAAGTTCAAAAACGTACGAGATCATGTTATATTACTCCAAAGACACTATTAATACAATGTTTTAAAGCTTTGTCTTTAATTATGAAAGAATGAAAAAGAAATAATTTATCATCGTTCTACTCAACACTTGCATGAGGAAAGCATAAATTTCACGTTCAGTAAGTTGGAAGCACCTAGCTGCTGTTTTCGAATTTGAAACTTGAAGTGACCACTATTAACGCAGAATCTACTAGCGACTAAACTGTTTAATACAAGGAGGAAAATATTACAACAACACGATTTAGACATGGCTTGCTTATGTGATTGACACGCTCTGGCTGTGCTCTAATATTTGATTACATTTTCACTGCTTTTCTACATCTTTCAGATACTTTTTGTTGTTAAACAGTTTTCTTTACTTGTTACAGATAAGCTGAAAAGAGATTTATATTGACCCAAGCAGTGAAAAAGAAGTAATACAGATGTACCTGTAAGCTTCTGCGGACTTCTTGTCTGTCCGGGTGACACCGCGTCGTTGGCTGTGAGGCCGACGTTTCGCCTGTCATATCGTAGGCTTACTCAGGGTGGTGACTACCTGCGATATCTCAGGTAGCCTCTCCGCCAACGACGTGGCGTCACCCCGACAGACAAGAAGTCAAGTAATACAGATATTGGTTTCAAAACAGTGTAACGGACCAACTTGTATTTGAACGAGATTAAAGACTTCCAATACTTATTAGCTCTAAACATTATTTTAGATTTGCGTGAAGTTTTAAAACATTAGCGAAAATGTTGTAATATTTGCGAAAAAGTTCAAAATTCAAAGTTTTTTCTATAGCAGTAACGGAAAAACTTTAACTTTGTGCTTCAAAATGCCGAATATAAAATTAGTAAATTTAGTGGCCTTTAATAGGTAAAGTATAGTAATCTAATTTGTATTTATTATTTTGCAGCTTAGATATGTTATTTAAAACACATTGCAATTCTTTCGCATTTAATTAAACAGTTACATTTAAATACTAATAAGAATTAAATACCTGTTATTTTCTTAAATAAATACGGTACTTAAATAAAATAATTTAATTCACTTATATTAAAAGAATATTGCTTTAGGAGACACTTTCTTCATTAGTCTCAGATCTTATCTATTTATTTATTCTCATATTTACCACGCACTTTGATACGCATTCGCGACATGACTACTATTCGCTATATACTTTATACTCTGTACACTCTCAAAGCAGACCTTCTGAAAGTCTTCACACATGTAAACAATAATTTAGATAAACATATCCGAAGGTTTGAAGAGGTTGTTCAAAACACAGACGGTTGGGTCACAATAGGTAACACCGCAGAAACTTCCAACCATCCATCCGCGAAAGCAAAAACACAATCACTACTACCAATCACCACTGAAAACAGAATTCTGATTAGGATTATGACAATCAGTTTCTTTGCCCTCCCAATCGTCACTACCCCCTCCCATCATCGACACACCTACCCACAAACCAACGCACAGAGCACGCGCGAAAAAACAAAGACATCGATTTGCGCAACCTGGCCCACAAGTAAACAAGAACATTCTCACTGAGCCCATCAAAAAGGTACTGATTTTGGCAGATAACCATGGGCGACAAATCTCCTCCCTACTCAGTGGGAAACTCCCATCCAATTTATCTGCCAGGGGTGTGTTTAAATCTAACGGAAGGTTTGTTAACGTGACCAGAGAGTTTGACATCCACACAAAAACTTTCACCAAACGGGATACAGTCATCATCATACGAGGGCAGAATATCAATTTGGGTGGTCACTTTACACCTGATCAACATGTAAACAAACTACAACGTGCCGCTGAAAACACAAACATAGTCTCGACTTTGCCCTTCTGGTACTACAATCCAACCCTCTGCAAAGAAATTAAACACGCAGAAAACCGATTGAAACTGTATCTGAGAGACACACATGTTAAAATATTTGAGCTAAAAATTTTCCCAGAAAAACACTTTACCCGGCACGGTATTCACCTGCACCTTGTCGGAAAGCATACACTTGGTAGCGAGCTTCCCAAACGCATCCTTTCACAACCTCGGCAGTGTCCTACCGAGGCCTATCCACACCCACGTATCCTAGTTCTCTTCCATCCTTCGGGACCTCTTTGGACCCAATTACTTTATCCCCTGAACCTAAGCCTTGTACTACCTCTCCCATTATTCATTTATCTACATCTGTCGCCCCTCCTTCCTCACCTCCTGTCACTGTTGGAGCACGTTACTTCCTTCGACCACGCACTCGAGGTAAAAATGCTATGAATAAATAGCAATGATCACTATTCATTTTTAATTAATAAGAATTACACGGTCCCTTACGATTACCATGCTTCGTAGCATCAATGTACAGTTGTGTGTGTAAATATTAAGTTTCTAATATGTATGTTTTGTATGTCTTGTTAAACATGTGTTTAAATGCCTATAAATTGATAAAAGCGTTCTACGTGATTTTAGTGCTTTGCTGTTCTATACCGGGGCAGCCTGAAGGAAAGTCCAAAAATTCAAGAGAAGGGTTGGTAGTGATGAAATAAAATGACAAATACGTAGTTGTCTATCCCTGAGAATTATGTTTGTCTTACACGGCTGCAGAGGGCCAATGACCAAGTTTGAATAAAGAAATTAAAAAAAAAAAATAAAGAAAGAATTATGGGTATGGTAATCACAAATATCTTCATCGAAGTAAAAATAGAGCCACTTACCACATTTCGGGGGCGTGACGACCCAAACGTCATCCTCTCGCACGGCGAACTGCTTAATCTCCTGCACACTCTCCTCGAAGATCTTCTTGAGCGCGCAGCCTCTCTGGCCGAAGCGCGCCTGGGGCATGCGTTCGCTCTCCTTCTGGAGGGACAGGTACCTCTCAACCGTCTCCCCGCAAAGCGGTGTCACAGATACCTCCATGTCGAAGGTACTCGCCGCAAGCTGTGCTCGAGACTGGTCACATCACGTCGCGCGGCACCACGTGGGCCCTCCTGCGCCTTGGCCGACGTCCCCTGCCCCGCTTCCGCTCGCTTAGCTCCCCCTCCATGCCACGCCTCGGCCCACAGCGCGTCACACTCCCCACCCGACCCCACCTCCCGCTCCGTCCAGCCCCACTCTGCCCCACCCCCCTTCGCACACCCCTCGCTCCATCTCCCACACCGACGTAGGTGGCTCAGTGCATCCATCGATGCCCTGCGGTGCCTCTGAACGGGATGCCCTAGGGCGCGAGTCCCGACGGTGGCAGGAGTTGCTATACTAGTTAGACCGAATTCTGTCTGGAGGAGAATTCTAGCGGCCGGCTGCTCTTATCGGAAATTTTCCATAGAATCTCCAATCAACACCAGGTGAATACCGGACCAGTAAACCTAACGAACGGGCCACGCACCATTCGCGATCTTTCCTTCCCCTTCCTTGTTCCATCCTCACCTACCTCCGGGCACTACACTATCGCAAATGACGGGAAATCAGTCGGAAGCTCAGAGCTTGTCCTGCGTGGGGTAGTGCCCCGTCCACGCTGGCGGGAGCTGATTGGGGAGAACCCTGCAAGCCGACGATTGGTGTCGGATCTTGCCTCCCAGCAGGGATTTATCACCCCCCGATAAAAACCATGCACAATACTTAAGGGAGTGATGACCATAGCAGTTGAATCGTTCGAAATCACTTAATCCACCTCCGACATGCCGTAATGCGTTGGTTAACACTAGAACCCCTAGTTAGAGTAGCGCAACTGGAACGGTTACCACATTAATACCCTCAGACCAAATATACCCGCCAGGTAGCAAGAAGTTAAACGTTAACAACCGACGGCGTTAGAGAGTTTTCATTTTCAATTCCTCAAAGAAGTAGTCACCTCGACCGGGAATCGACAGGGTGGTAAATATCAAAAAAAGGTTTGAGCACATTAATATTGTTTTTGAGTAAATAAGTGGTTACGAGAAATTTTGTTTGGCGTATCGACAAAATCAAGGTGACGTAGTGATCTTGTTTGCTTCCTTGACTGAGTGGTGATTTCCGGGGCGTAAACGGATAGTTAACTAATCCCGTAAAAATGTGATCTTCCGTTGGATGGCGAGCTTCGACGCGTCGGCTTGAAAGGCTTTCCCAACCAGGTATCTCCCACCAGCGGAGCAGCGCCCCAGCCGGGATAAGTTCTTAGCTCCCGATCGGGCTTTCGGCATATGTGGTAGTGTAATGCAGGTACGTGTGTGTAAGTAAGGAGTGAGGATAGGATAAGAAAGTGGGTGGAAAGATCGCGTGCGGTCCATGATCCGTTTGTATGAGTACTGCTTCGGCATTCGCCTGGTTTGGATCGAATGAATTCGACTTAGCATTGTAGATAGTGTAGAAAATCGTGCCACCATCGGGTTTCGAATCATAGAACCTCCCGGTCAGAGATACTGCAGTCATATCAATTGATGCCCTGAGTTACCTAAGTCGGTCGCGATGACTTAAATGTAAAGTTACAGATCAGATCAGATTAGATTTCGAAGGGAACGCATGGGTGTTTCCGCAATGGATGCGTGTCAGTACCAGATAGATTTTGTAGAAGGCACTTCTGAAAATGGATTCAGTACTGTACAGTACTGATAGTACTGATTGTACTGTAGTTTTGTACACATGCTAGTCAAATTCATAGCATACGGCGTATGGAGGACGCGATAATGAAGTTACCTAGTAGGGATATTCACCTGGAACAACACCACAAATTTTTAATATATTATTTAATTGTAAATGGTTATTATTGTTAGTAGTTTATTCAATCTTTAAATATTTTTGGTTGAATCTTGGAGATATTCGCATAGTTAGAATATTTATAGTAAATATTATATGCATGTGAATTATAACTTCACGGCAATTCAATTAAATAACAAATTAAAGTCAATAGAGATATTTTGCAAGTTAAGAATTTGAAAGACGAAAGATGTAAGGCAATTCTGGAGAGATTTATATTGCGCCTGCTCTGGCATCCAATAACGGGATTTCGATTGACGAGTCCCGTCATTCTTCCTGTTATATTGTCTACGGCATATGGTCGTAGCTGACACTGCGCAGTTTTCGCCTCCAGCACTAATATTCAATATTCATGGAAATATTGAAAAATACAATATGCATAGTACTAATATAATATGGCTGAAACTTTATTTGTCAATTTTTACCTAGGTTAATGTGCTTGTGCCAAGAAACGAATAAAGTTACATATTTGTTTAGGATTTGGAGGTTATGTGTATGTTGAGGCTTCATCGATTGTCACGAAAAATTAGTTATTTATTTATGTACAGGGCGATATAATTGCCATACATTCTCCATACCTAAACAATATAAATACGATATATTACAATTGCGGGAATTCATGATCAAACTATCTAGGAAGCTATTATTTTCTTTGGAGAGAAAATATGTATATTATATATTCGTATACTACAATCAGATTTCACTGTCCAATCCTACTCCACACTCTCCAATCCTACTCCACACTCTCCAATCCTACTCCACACTCTCCAATCCTACTCCACACTCTCCAACCCTACTCCACACTGCGAACTTCGCATTCCACATCGGTAGTGAGAAATTTGTCGGGGTCTCATTTACCTAAGAATTACATGTGCCCTTGTGAATTGTTCTTGTTAATAATCTCTCTGAATAACTTCGGATAAGCTCTTGAAGATAAGAGCACTTGGAATAAGTGATCTACTCCTTGGTGGACGAAGAAACTTTTGCCGCTAGGGCTGGAGGAAGAGTGCAATGGTTAGTGCTATGCATGCGAAAATATTTCAGAGAGGTAATTCCCCCTTCTAGAATTAAAAAAAAGAAAAATATCCAATATAACACATTTGTTACCACCATCAAACTGGCAGGGAAAAAATTCCAGGTGAGTAATTACCAACCTAGAATTTTGACAATTGAAAAAATCCAATAAAACACAATTATTACCACCATCAAACTGGTGGAAAAAATATTTTCGAAATCGACCAAAAATATTCTCTAAATAATTCTCCAAATTCAAATTTAATGCAGGAATATCCTGTTTTTTGTCTGGAGGCTTCAAGTATTTTAATATCGATCCACAAGACCGTTTACTCCAGGTGTGAGCATGGATTGTACCAAATTTCCTCTGCATTGGAAGTATATCTAACAAAGAATAAATTATTTTAAGGTTATAATTTAGTAAAAAATTCCAAGAATTTAATTAAATGTGAAGTTATCTTTTTCAAAAAATTGAAGAAGTAGTCAGCATATGGAATTCTTTACATTGTGTGTTTTATGAGATTATATTTTAAAGACGATTACAAGCGTTTCCGAAAGAAATATGCCGATATTTACTGAAATATGTTTTGTGAGAAAAAATGTTCCAACCTATTAACCTAATTTGTACCTAATTATACCTAATTTATTTCCTGCATTAGATTTGAATTTAGAGAATTATTTAGAGAATATTTTTGGTCGATTTCGAAAATATTTTTTCCAATAGTGTGATGGTGGTAATAATTGTGTTATATTGGATGTTTTCAATTATTTTTATGAAAGCATTTTCAGTGAGTTTATAAAAATATGTTATCGCGGAATGGACAACCTCAAGGGATTAATATAAATTTTTTGAGTAATATATTTGCCAATACAAGTTTATCTGCATTTCTTGCATTCAAACATTCTGTTACCAGTTCCCCAAACCACGTGGGGTGCTCAATTTAAACAAGAGTGATATACGAGCTTTACAAAGCTGTACGATAAATATGTATGATAAAGACGTATGATATCAGAGGTACATAATAGTTTTGTCATTTGAATGTTACTTTTGCCTATCTTACTTTAAAGTTAGTGGAGAACTTAGTAAGAAAGTAACTTAATAGTTAGTATTTCAATACGTATTCCATTCTACGTTTTCAGACCTTTTAAAAAAGTCAGTAACGTTTCGAAGTTTTGTATTAGGCGAATAAATTTTCTTCCAACATGACTGCCGGCCCAAGCTTCAACTTGCAATGGGCAAGGATGGTGGTCTATACTGAAGGAATGTGGGGTCTTCATTTGAAAAAGTGACGGATGTCTGAAAATATCAAGTTAATTTTCCTTATTACAATAAATGTTATATTAGTATTGTAGGGACAAGATTTGTAATGAACCTGATCCCGCATCTTAATTCCAGAAATAAATTTCCAGCAAGGTCCGTGTAGACAATTCGTCAATCGCGCAGTAAAAGTAAGTATCATATCGGTCTGGCAAAACAAAAACTGACGATTCTTTGAAATAATAAGATAACGTAATTAGACGTTTCCGGGTTTGCAGGCCGTGGTTGAACGGAGACTGAACTAAGTATTTTCTCCAGTCTCCTTTGGACCACGGCCTACAAACCCGGAAACGTCTAATTATATAGAAACCGGATGTGAAAGCCTACATTGTATATTAATAAGACAACGATTAGATAACTAGATTGAATTGTATTACCGCTCTTCCCTATAAATAAATACAGACGATAGAATCCACAGAAAATTTAACAAACATAAGCGAAAGGATTCAGTAGCTTGCCATTAACATCAGTTCGAAAATGTAAATTTATTTATTTATAACAAAAAATTTACAATCTATTTTTTTTACAAAATAATAAGTAAATATGATATTGTAGA